GTGTGTGTGTGTGTGTGTGTGTGTGTGTGTGTGTATGTATGTGTGTGTGTGTATGTATGTGTGTGTGTGTAATATTATCAGTTTGATGACTTTGATACTACCAGATGAGTAGTGAGCTGAATATTCAGACTATTGTCTTCTATAGAGCTGCTTTATAGTTGAATCAGATTCATTTCATAATTGATGAATTTTGCAACATCGATACTGTTATTGAACTGAATTGAATCATCATTGAACTGAACTGAGCTGAAAAATGACACTATTGTCTTCTGTAGAGATGCTTATAGCTGAACTAAGCTTGTTTCATAATTGATGAACTTTAAACAGTTATCGAACTGAAGTGAATCAACTGAACTGAATTGAGCTGAATAATGACACTGTTGTCTTCTGTAGAGATGCTTATAGCTGAATTGTTTCATAATTGATTAACTACGCAGTTATTGAACTGAACTGAATCAACACTGAACTGAGCTGAATAATTGCACTGATGTCTTCTGTAGAGCTGTTTTATAGTTTTTATAATTCTGTTCAGACTTTGTGTTAACAGCATCTATTAATATTTATACTGGCTTATTTGGATGTGCTGTATGTTACCATTTATACTTGTTCCAAAGAATCTGCTACTATTTATATTGTTTAAACATTTATATTGTTTCTATTTAAACAGTGTAAATAACATTTACCGTTTTTTTTTTGCACCGGTGTAAATAGCTGCTGCATTACATTATGCAACAAATAAACAAAAATGTTTTGTTTTATTTTATTTTATTCATTTATTTATTTTGGTTTGATGTCATGTGATCGAATCTCAGGTCAATATATTTTTTAAATAAATCATATAGTGCACTATGCATTTGCAATGATGTTATTGTTAACTAAACCTAAAATTAAAATAGTAAAATAAAATAAAATAATTTTCATTAGTTGAAATAAAACTGAAATAAGATTGATGAAAAACTTTATGTAAAATTACTGAAACTAAAATTGAAAAACAAATGGAACTAAATAGAAATATTCAAAAAAGAATATTACAAACATAAACATATTGCTAAAATGAAAATAAAAATTCAAAATATTAAGAAAAATGATATATATAATACAATACTAATATATAACATATATTAGTATATACTAATATGTATTATATAAATAATACTAATATAACAGAAATAAAAGGCATTTGATTGCATTTTATTTTCAGATTTTTTGTTGGTTTGATTAGCTTGATCTCTGTTGAACTGCACTATTTACCTGTGGTTCATTTCACAATCCTTTCAAACTGTATCCCTTAAGACTTCATACTTTTTCCTGATGATTTTAAAGGGACAGAACATGTAGCCTGAAAGCATACTTGCACAATTATTGTAAACAATTCACAAACATTCACCGTCTTGCTAGCTGCTTAAAAGTCCTTGATTTTGTTGTATTCACAATTCAGAAAATCTTTGGCAACACTAAGTGTTTTTTTTTCTTCCCCTAAGCACGTTTTCTTCCTTCGTCTGTTTGTCTTTCTCTCATCTCTCAAGCATACACCTGCGCGTGAATATTGAGCACACAAACCCGCCAGAGGCCCGTCAGCGTGTTCAGGTAGATGGATGCGTTTGATTGGTCCAGGCTGTGATTGGCATTAATTGCCATGGCAGAAGGCATGCCCGCCTTTCACATGAGGTCAGCTCTGATTGGCCTGATGAGGCCAGATCCTTCTTCTGGAGGTCCCGGGCCCCGAGGGCTCCTCGCGCGCTGCCTGTCCTGAATTCACCCCACCTCAGCACACTCCACCCGTCAGATCTGCTGATGGCTCACCGGAGACGAGAGCCGTACGCGTCAGCTGCTTTCCATTAGGCCTGCGTGTCTCGCTGTTGTGTTTACCGAGCACAATCAAGTCTAATTGTGCGACGTCTATTGGAGAGTGAGACATTGTTTCCGTTCTTATTTTGTGTTGCGTTGATTCTACCATCCGATATTTTTCTGTTGCTCATGAAAGACTGACTCAGTGTGTAAGAATCCGTGTGTTTATTTGACTTCTGCTTCAGTTTATACTGAAAGAAGCAGACGAACAGAATGTGAGAGGAAGAATAAATCCATTTGAGACAGAGCGAGTGGTATTTAAGTTTAAGAAAATACATTTATGCTCATAATAACATCAGAAATGCTGAAATCAGTTTAGCTTTTATCCCTTATGCCAGTGTTGGCCTGTATAAAAAGTGACTGAAGTGGAGCTACATCTGATTCAATCTGTACTGTATGAGAGCTATATATATTCATATTTTATATTTTAATAATTAGAAAAACACATTTATATAAATGATTCATATAAATTGTCAAGCTCTAAAGTATTTAATCGGGTTTGAATTGCAGTAAAAAAAAACTATTCACAAACTACAAAAGTCTTGTACATTTACTGTAAATCTTGATGAAAATTCAGTGATTATAATGTTGGATCATTTCACAATCCTTTCAAACTGTATCCCTTAAGACTTCATACTTTTTCCTGATGATTTTAAAGGGACAGAACATGTAGCCTGAAAGCATACTTGCACAATTATTGTAAACAATTCACAAACATTCACCGTCTTGCTAGCTGCTTAAAAGTCCTTGATTTTGTTGTATTCACAATTCAGAAAATCTTTGGCAACACTAAGTGTTTTTTTTTCTTCCCCTAAGCACGTTTTCTTCCTTCGTCTGTTTGTCTTTCTCTCATCTCTCAAGCATACACCTGCGCGTGAATATTGAGCACACAAACCCGCCAGAGGCCCGTCAGCGTGTTCAGGTAGATGGATGCGTTTGATTGGTCCAGGCTGTGATTGGCATTAATTGCCATGGCAGAAGGCATGCCCGCCTTTCACATGAGGTCAGCTCTGATTGGCCTGATGAGGCCAGATCCTTCTTCTGGAGGTCCCGGGCCCCGAGGGCTCCTCGCGCGCTGCCTGTCCTGAATTCACCCCACCTCAGCACACTCCACCCGTCAGATCTGCTGATGGCTCACCGGAGACGAGAGCCGTACGCGTCAGCTGCTTTCCATTAGGCCTGCGTGTCTCGCTGTTGTGTTTACCGAGCACAATCAAGTCTAATTGTGCGACGTCTATTGGAGAGTGAGACATTGTTTCCGTTCTTATTTTGTGTTGCGTTGATTCTACCATCCGATATTTTTCTGTTGCTCATGAAAGACTGACTCAGTGTGTAAGAATCCGTGTGTTTATTTGACTTCTGCTTCAGTTTATACTGAAAGAAGCAGACGAACAGAATGTGAGAGGAAGAATAAATCCATTTGAGACAGAGCGAGTGGTATTTAAGTTTAAGAAAATACATTTATGCTCATAATAACATCAGAAATGCTGAAATCAGTTTAGCTTTTATCCCTTATGCCAGTGTTGGCCTGTATAAAAAGTGACTGAAGTGGAGCTACATCTGATTCAATCTGTACTGTATGAGAGCTATATATATTCATATTTTATATTTTAATAATTAGAAAAACACATTTATATAAATGATTCATATAAATTGTCAAGCTCTAAAGTATTTAATCGGGTTTGAATTGCAGTAAAAAAAAACTATTCACAAACTACAAAAGTCTTGTACATTTACTGTAAATCTTGATGAAAATTCAGTGATTATAATGTTGGAATTTAATTATTTTCAAATATTTAAGTATTTATAATTATTTAATTTAATTATTTTTTACTATAATGCAAATTCCAGTTTCTGTAAATTATAAATTATAAGAAAATGAACACCGTTGTCTTTCAAATATTCAAAAATATTGTCAAATATTGTCAAAAAGGCCTTCACAGATAAGATAATCCCAGAGTGCACTGCGGCAAGCTTAGTAAAAATGTATCCAAGAAAGTTTGATATGAAATATATTTCATTCCATTCTGAACCGTATAAATAACTTCAGTACATTAAAATGGATTATTTCACCCAAAGTTTTCGTGTTATGAATTTTTGTTTGTTAGAATGTCAAACTTTACTGGAAGCATTTGTGAACTGAGTCTCCCATGCACTTGAAATAAAATAAGTCGTGATCATGCAATGTGTTTATTAATAAGAGAACTGTGTTTTGTTGTCAGGTGTCGGGGAGTTCGGCAGGTTCTCCGGGCGGATCGTCGGCCCCGTCCTGCTCGTCACAGCAGTATAACCGCCAGAGAATAACACGCGTCAACCTCAGGGACTTCATCTTCTACATGGAGCAGGAGCGAGAGACCAGCAGATCTCTCTTACTGTACCGGGCTCTCCTGAAGTAGCCAACGCTGAGCGAATGCTGAGCAGCGATCGACTTCCTTCTCAGCTCTGCGACGTGCCTTCAGCCCTGTTCACCGCCTCTGTGTCTGTGAGCTCGTGATGTCAGCGTTGCTTTTGATAGAAAAGCTCTGAAAAAAGAGAGAGAAAAAAAAACAAGATGAGCTTCATGTTTCCTGTTTTCTCCTCAACGTTATTAGGTAAACTGTATTTATGATAGTGAATTTTAAGGCTTGTCTCTCCGGCTTTGAGCTGAGGAGTGTTTGTTTGTTTGTTTGTTTTTTGTGTATGAATGAATCTGACACTGTAAATACCACGTTCTTCATCAGTATTTTAGTCTAAAAATCCCCCCCCCAAAAAAGATGGAAAAAAGATTAAGAATTCATTCCCTTTTTTTATTAATGTGTTCCCTCATTTTAGTTCAATCGTGACCACAGTTTGCTATTCGACGCCTTCATTTTAGTAAATCATGATCACATTGTACTAATTCTTTCCCTCGCTTTGATTTACTAAAATGATGGAACAAATTAGTACAAATTTGCAACAGTTTACTAAAATGAAGGAATAAATAAGTACAAATTAGTCACAATTTACTAAAACGAGGGAATTAATAAAAAATGAGCAACAATGTACTAAAACAAGGAAATAAATTAATAAAAATTAGCAATGATTTACTAAAATTAGTAAACGAATTAATAAATATTAGCAACGATTTACTAAAATGAGGAAACGAATTAATAAAAATTCGATTTACTAAAATGAGGTAACGAATTAATAAAAATTTGCAACGATTTACTAAAATGAGGAAACTAATTAATAAAAATTAGCAACGATTTACTAAAATTAGAGAATTAAGACCACAGAGTATATCTTAAGTATATTTTTCTCAAATTAGCAAAGATTTTTTTTCTTGTTTTTAAAATAAGCTTCACTACATTTTCTTTATGCTTTGAACAAGAATATCATAATATTTCATGCATTTTTGCTCTTTTTGGTGTGATATACTTCAATATTTTTAGTATCAGAAATCCTGATGAAGTGAGTGTTTCTCGCAGTGCAGATGTCGTTCTGCTGTATATTCAACACCGAGCGCTTACAGTGACGATCTCCGAGACGAAACGCCTTGAAGTGATCAATGTACTTTTCCGTTAAAGAATCGCGTCGTTCTCTAAAACATATGCAGACTTTCCCAAACATCATCATCATCATCATCATCATCATCAGTGTCCAGCCAGTCGCAGTATTTAAAACCCCATCAAAGTTGACTAAAAACTCTTTTTCAAAACCTTTATCGGCGAGTCTCGATGTAAATAGACTTTTTGATGAATATTGTTTTTAACAGCATGTGTAAATTATTTCCACATGATATTTTAGCAACAAAGTAACGTTTTAAACTAGGAACGAAGCGTTCCTTCTAAATCGATCACGAAGCTTCTGTCTGTCATTGTGATTCGTGTAGCTTTAATATTTGTCCACGAGGAGCACGAATCACGTGTTTCCCGAAATCAGGCCAGCAGATCCGAGCTATAGCAATACAGCCAACACATCGTCTGAACGTTACGTCCACGTTTGACTTCTGTTTGTGATGCATTTCCCAATCAAACACCATATTCAGTGAGAAAAGAAGTACCAATCCCAACAGATCCTAAGTTTCTCATCTCATAAACACGACCAGAACTGAAAGCAGCACTAGATTATGAAGGCAAACGGTTTAGAATAACATGCACTGATAAATCAATGTATTATGAAAGTATTAGAGATTCATTTTGATTTCATTTTTGTCACCGCCTGGACCATAAAACTGGATTTCACTTCCCTCGACTGTGTTTCAAACTGAGTGTTAAACTCAGTATTATCCCTTCATTTAACTGATACTTTAAGCTGGTTTAAGTTATTGATGTCCGTCGTTCATTTATCATTCGTAAGCTCAGTCACGAGGAAGAACTCGAATCCTGTAAGCATTTATTTTGGCGAGGGTTCGCCGTACGTGATGTCAGGAGAGGTCAAGTTCTGTGACCTTTCTTCACTCGGAGTCCGGTCAGAAACGGATCCTCTCGCTCTTCTATGCACCATGAGTCCCGTTGCTTTGCGGTTTGTGTTTGTGTGTGAAACTCGACGCACGTGGAAGGTTTTAGTTTGGTTTTTAGCTTCAGTGTTTTCATCTGTGTCCGGGAAATTTCGTTTTGGACCTATTTATATTTTCTCATTCGCATCCACGTTTGCCACTTTTCAGGCAAAGCGCTTCATTCCCCGACAGTCCCGTTCGAAACAAGCACAAATGTATTTGTTGGGTTGTTTAAACCGACTTTATCAGTCTTCTGTTTTCTGTTTTCCGCTGGAGGCTCTTTCTATGACTTATGCTTTGTAGCCCAAATATTATTAGCACTCTCTTCATATTGTATTACTGACGTGCCCAGCTGGAATTTAATGTTTCGATCTATGGATAATTTGTATATATTGTTTACAAGACCTTGTGTTTATCAGAACTATCTTATTTTTGGTAAATTCTGTACATATCCTGAAATATTTCTGTTTGTGTGAACATACTTCTGTATTTGTACCTATTTTGTAAAGGAATAAAAAAGCTGTTTACTAAACTTCAAAATGTTTACAGATGTGCGGTTCACCATTTAATAAATGTTATAGTATAAAATGCATATATTTATATAAATATTTATATAAATATTTAGTATTTAAGATATAACTTTAATATATAACACATTAAATACAATTTATATATACTTTGTAATAATTTAATAATGATATATATATATATATATATAACAAATCAAAACAAACAAGCCAAAGTAAATTATGAAAGGAAACCCAGTCAAGAACCACTTAACTACAGATTCAAGTTTATCATTAATATAAACTAATTATCATAATTATATGAATATGTCATTGACAGGGTTGATGTTTATAAAGTAGATGAAAGCACAAACAAATGTCAGGTGAATATTACGCCTTTTTTATTATAGCAAATATGCAAGTAAATAAAAAAAGAAGTCACTGTAAATAAACACATGCCCTTTAATACCACAGTCTAATTATTAATACATTAAATAATGACAGTTTTCAGCTTGGTAGACAGTTTGAAATGTGGAGGATCTTCTCTTGTCATTTGTATGTACATTATCATATTGCTTTGCTCGTGTTCAGTCCATCAGTCTGGTGTTAAAGCAGTGTCAGAATCTCTTCTCGGGTTTGTTTACAAAGAGAAACCAGCATCTGAATGTGTCAGTATACAAATAACTGTACATAGTACCAGCGTTTTAGACCTGATGGACGCGACCACATCCACAGCGTCCTGAAATACATCACAACCACATGGAAAGTAATCCAACATAATTCCACACAAACCTTGCGCTCTTCTGTTCAGCAAACTTGACGTATCAAACAAGATCAGAGCATAAACACACGACTTCATCCACACTGGGATCTTCTGAGTGTGTTTTGGGTTTGTAAATGTGCATGTGAGGATTGTGTAGAGAGGCATGCTGGGATAGCTCTTGGCACATGAAAGGGTGCTTGGTCATGCCCTTTGTGACAGAACTGGACCAGATCTGGGTCAGAACAAAGGCTGGCTCAAGAGGGTTCCCACCGGAGGGTCGAGTCTCGCCTGTAGCCTGTGGACATTTAATCAGACAGCCAAGAACACCACATAATGCAAAAACACTAGTGCATTATTGAAGACATTCAGACTCCAAGCTGCAGCGCTTTCTAATCCAGCTCGAGTTTGAATGAGACTCTGGATGAACAAATCAGAACGAGGCCGTTTGTTTTTGATCGAGAAGAAACAGCATCTGTGACTTTGATCTTCGGAAGGGAAGTGACCACCGCCCAGCGATGATGATGATGATGATGATGATGATGATGAACACTGGACTCAAAGCCACATCACTAACAACAGACCATCGGCTCAGAGCTCGAGGCAAGACTCGGCAAAAGTGATTCTCAACAGAAATACACTATAAAAACTATCAAAAAAAAAAAAAGACAAAATGAATGCAAACACTGTATAGACCTGGTTGACAAAAAATGACATAACCCTTCTATTGCCGCCTCCTATTAATTTTATGGTTCTTTAAATTAAATTAAAATATAAATTTTTTAATTTAGTAGCTTGTGACCTGTTCACTGTTCAAAAAAAAAAAAAAAACGGTGACCAGGTAACAAGCAGGGCTTTTATAGTTAAATAAAACTAAAATTAAAACCATTAAAAACAAATCATTACTTGAAACGTTAAATGAATAAATGTTAAATGAAATAGAAAAAAACATACAAAAAAATTTCAGCTAGTTGCCAACATTTCTCATTTTAACGGTTTAATTTGATGTACTAAAATAACTAAAACTGAAATAAAAATTAATAAAAACTATATAGACATACAACTACTAAAAATAAATAAATAAATAAAATCCTAAAAATGACAAAACCACAACAAAATACTAAAACTTTAACTGCAATTAAAATGAAAACAGAAAATGTAAAGAAAATATAAAAACTGATTTAAAATATTAATTAAAAACTAAAATTACACTGGTAACATCTGGTAGAAAATTAAAATGTGATTTTTGGATGATGAAATTTTGAAGAATCATAAAAGTAATTTTTTATAAATTAAATATATGCATAAAATATTCCAAAAATTGTTATTTTTTATTGTAATATATTTTATGTATTTCATATATATATATATATAATTTTTTAACTGGACAATAGAAGGGTTAAATCAAGTAGGCTTTGATGGAACAGTTACAATTACAAATTTTAAATTAAAAAAGTTACAAATGTTAAATAAACTTTATGGCAATAGATTTACGATATTTGCAAATCATATCTTTTTTTTACAGACAGCACAACAATGTGCGTCTGCAGTGTTGATTTGGTTGTTAGTTCTTTCTGTTGATGAAGTTTTGTCCAGTGTAAACGTTGCGTGAGACATTCATCACACACACACACACACACATCTGATGAAGCACCTTTTTCACAACGTATCTGCCGTTTACTCAGCATCTGACAACATTTTGACATCAAAATAGAAACCGGACAACTTCAAACTAAACCTGATAAACTGGGCTAATGAATAGTGATTATTCATTCACAAAGATGGTTTAAAAATTAATGCATCATAGTTAGTACCCCCATTCTGTCAGCGCGCTCCAACTTGAGTCTATTTCCACTGAATCTTTAAACACGCGGGCGGCTTGTTTTCGCGCGATCTCGAGATGCATTTAAGTGCAAACGTACCGTTATTGACACAATCATACGTCTTCACTGCCAATGTTTTGCCTCGAGCTCCTTACATTTTGTTCTTGACACACACGACTCTAGTTTCTGTATAGTTCAGAACCCATTTGATTCAAGCATTAGCTTATAAAAATTTCAGATGTTTAACGATATGCTTTAATGTTCTGGCTCGCTCTGGCTTTAGAAATAGCCACGTTTGCTTGCAGCTCCTTTAAACAAAGAAACCTTCAGCAGCCGAACGCATTAAACCCCAGACTGCTTGAGGGTGTAATAGCGTTTTCCTGCCAGGAAAGTCTCTCAAATGTAATGCCTTCAGAACGCCACTTCCATCATCCTTCATGTAACAAAAGAAATAAACACAAAACTCCAGCCTAGTACTGCATACAACATGGTGCTATAAGGAGTGAAAAATGTCTTTAGAAACAAGGATGAAATGAAAAACAATCCAAAAAAATGGACCCCCGGCCCCTGACGATGCCGTTTTTTGTTCGTAAGCATCGCGCCACAATCGTCATGAGATAATGACACACACTGCACCAGCAGAGGGGCGGAGCCTGCGTTCCGTATGTGTGAGGATGTCCTCTGATTGGTGGTTTGGGCGGAACAGGGCGTGACTCAGATCCTGCTGGAGTTCTTTGGGTTTCTGGTTTGATTACATTCCCCGTATAAATGCTGAGAGAGTGTGTGAGAGTGTGTGTGTGTGTGTGTGTGTGTGTGTCGAGGGGCCGAGGGCCTGAGCGTGTGTCTCTAGTCCAGCGGCTCCTGCTTTATCCTGATGGGCGTGTTCATGGACTGACTCCGCCTGTCCTCGCGACACACGACGTACTCGCTGAACTGAGACGAGTCGACGCCGCCGCCGCAGGACGCAGCCACGCTGAAACCCTTCTGGAAGAGACGCTCCAACACCTGAAACACACACACACACAGGCGGTCAAACATGACAGACTGAAGGACATCAGCATTAATAGTCAATTAAAAATGTTCACTCAGAAATACAATAAAAATGTGACATATTATTGTGATTTAAAATAACTGTTTTCTATGTGAATATCTGTTAAACTGTAATTTATTTCTGTGATCAAAGCTGTATTTTCAGCATCATTACTCCAGTCTTCAGTGTCACATGATCTTCAGAAATCATTCTAATATGCTGATTTGCTGCTCAAGAAACATTTCTGATTATTATCAATGTTGAAAACAGTCGTGCTGCCCGATATTTTTGGAAACTGATACATTTTATTTTTCAGGATTCACAGATGAACAGAAAGTTGAAAAGAACAGCGTTTATTTGAAATAGAAATCTTTTGTAACATTATAAATGTCTTTACTGTCAATTTTTAATCAATTTAATGCATCCTCGCTGAATAAATGTATTAATTCCTTTCATTAAAAAATGAAACTATTGAACATTAGTGTATGAGTCAGCAAAAAGAGTAAAGGCAAAAAATAAAATAAACAAGCCTTCAAAAATGACAAACTACATTAAACAGTACTTCCCATATGCCAAAAAATAAAATAAAATAAAATCTGGCCAAAATATATTTTAAATATATTCTAAATATACACTACTCACAAAAAGTTAGGGATATTTGACATTCGGGTGAAATTTATGGAAAATGTAAAAAGTTCATGCTACAGTGATATTATATCATGAAAGTAGGGCATTTAAGTAGAAGCATGCAATGGTAATTTCTTCATCTCAAACTATTTATTGAAACAAAAGCTAACAACAGTGCTGGGTAATGTATACCACAACACAAAATCTCAATGTCTCAATAACTTGTCATGTGTCCTCGAGCATCAATTACAGCTTGACAACGACGTCTCATGCTGTTCACAAGACGACTTATTGTCTGCTGAGGCATGGCATTGCACTCTTCTTGAAGGGCTGCCCTCAGGTCACTGAGGTTCTGGGGTGCAGGGTTACGACCCTCTACACGATGACTCAGCTGATCCCATGGGTTCTCTATGGGATTCAGGTCTAGAGAAAGTGCAGGCCACTCCATTTGAAGTACCCCAGCCTCCAGCAGCCGTTCCCTGATGATGTGACCTCGATGAGCTGGGGCATTGTCGTCCTTGAAGATGAAATCAGGCCTGTGTTGCTCACGCAGAGGCACAATGACTGGATTAATGATGTTATTCAGGTAGTATTGGCTTGTCACAGTACCATTCACAAGGTGTAGGGCAGTTCTGTATTGACTAGACACACCTGCCCAGACTGTAACACCAGACAACAGGCTCGTCTGGTGACAACACTGGCTGATGCATAGCGTTCTCCTGGACGTCTCCAACAGAATGGGATGTGGCCAAAGGATGTCCACTTCTATGCCTTTCTGTGACTCTTCAAGTCTCTCTGTGTCTCTGTTGCAACCTGCTGATGACACTCTGTGACACTCAACTTCCCTCTGAGAACATCCCGTTTGAAGCCTCGCAATGTCCAGGTACTGTTGATCAGTTGTTACGTGTCGTCTTGGTCTCATGATGTCAAAATCTGAACAGCATGATGAAGAGGACTGTTTAAATACAAATTGTCATTGAACCAGAACATTTAGTGGTCGATTCATGGATCAGACACTTGTTGTGATTTTTGCGGTTAATCACCTTGTTAGAGAACAGCATGTTACGCAATACGTACTGAAACATTGAACAGATGGACATATGCATTCAAAAGTTTAGAGAAGGTCAAATTAGGTTCACCTGTAAAGGTTAAAGTGCATTTTAGGTGCATTCTGAAATTTCACCCGGAAGTCGAATATCCCTAACTTTTTGCGAGTAGTGTATGTTGTAAACAGTGAAGCTAAACAAAATATATTTTTAAAACAAACAAACAAACAAAATTGTTCAAACTAAATGCAAAAGCAGATGGAAAAGCCTACTAGAGATCAAAACTTGATTTAAGATTTTATAATGTTTAATTTATGTTTTCATATATTGTAATGTAATTTTTTTTGGCAACATTGGAAAGCATGTTCCGCACTGATTTTTATTAAAATGTGTTATATTTTTACATATGTTATAGACAACAAATAAAGTTTTTCTTAAAATGTGATGTATGTGAATGTATTTTTTTGGACTGACATATATGAAGGTAGAAAATATATGGCATATATATCACTAGAAAATATATTTACGTAAATATATATTTTGAAGCATATTTTAGGAAATATGTTTTTGGCTATTTTTGGAATATTTTGAAATATATTTTTTGCTGTGTGGTTTGTGTCTGTCTAAAGGTGGTTTATTTAGAGACTTGCTCAGAAACACGAAACAAAGGGCTTTATACTATAAACATATACTCTGAGACAGACTCTGACACTCTCTCACACACACACACACACACACAATGCAGCTCGGTTCTGGTCAGTTTACAGTAAACTCTGTTTTCATCCGATTCAACATTCATCACACAGCAGCTCCGCTCATCCCGACTGAAAGTCACTGCGAGATCGGCCACACAGACGGTCAGACATGACAGACTGAAGAATATCAGCATTAATAGTGAATTAAAAAATGTTCACTCAGAAATACATAAAAAATGTGACATATTATTGTGATTTAAAACAGCTGTTTTCTATGTGAATACGACATTTATAATGTGACAAAAGATTTCTATTTCAAACAAGTGCTGTTCTTTTGAACTTTCCTGAAAAATAAAATGCATCACGGTTTCCACAAATATATGAAGCAGCACAACTGTTTTCAACATTGATAATAATCAGAAATGTTTCTTGAGCAGCAAATCAGCATATTAGAATGATTTCTGAAGATCATGTGACACTGAAGACTGGAGTAATGATGCTGAAAATTCAGCTGCGCATTACAAAAATAAATTACATTTTAACAGATATTCACATAGAAAACAGCTGTTTTAAATTGTAATAATATTTCACATTTTTACTGTATTTTTGATCAAATAAATGCAGGCTTGGTGAGCAAAAGAGACATGAAAAATCTTACCACTCCCAAACTCTTGAACAGTAGTGTACTGTATTAGTGTGTACAATTCAGCATCAATAAGAAACATGAATGCTAACGGTTTAACATGTTTGTATGTAGCTCATTTTGATGGAAGATAAACGAGAGAGAGATGTGCTTTGGTGATTTCATTTGGTTGTTTGTCAGCAGTAACTTCAGGAGAATCTGTCTGTCATTCTCATAAACAACCACAGAACGAGATTAAACATTCAGCAGATGAGTGACGACCGTATTTAACTGCAGGATGAACAAACCTGTGTGTGTGTGTGTGTGTGTGTGTGTGTGTGAGTGAGTGTG